CGTCCGGCACTTCATATTAAAACAGTTAATAAAATGAACCAGCCAGTCTAAAAAATTCTTTGTTATAAATAAGATCCTCATAAGTAGAAAGTGATATAAAGACAGGAAAGTGTGGTGGGGGAAAGCAGGGTTACACATAGTCGGGGAGCTCGGTAGGACTATAAAATCTCCACGTGAAGAGGCCAACTGGAGTCTGTAAATGGGCACCCCGGATGCCCCTCCGCCCCGGGAGGCGTGTGCGAGGAGGGAACCGGGCCCTTTGCCAGGGCCAGGCTGACTCGGGAGGGACAGGACTAAGGGGCTTTTTGGCAAGCCCTCGCTCTAGGCACTGTTCTCCTCCGCTGCTGCAGAGCAACGCGCTCCCGTTCCCGCACCGCGCACGTCTCGGTGTCACCGGGCGTGCCAGCCAGCAGCGAGCGCTTCGCCCTGCGCACCGGCAGCTCCCCTCTGCCACGCACCCCGCCCCCGCGCACGCTCCAGCGGCACACAAACCATCAGCTCAGGCACATCCACTGAGAAACACACCAGGAAAATTAAGATATGGCCTTTTCTTAAGGTTGCCTGACATTGTTGGCACACTTCCTTACAGTCTCCTTACTGCTGGAAAAACTTCTGCACAGATTTTTTTTTTTTTTAAATATATACATATACATATATATACGTGTGTGTGCATATGTATATGCATATATGTATATATATACACACACACACCCTGGCTTAGCAGTATTTCATTGTCATGCACTACAAACAGTTAGGTGTAGCTACATGAGATGGTAACAGGTTTCCATTCTAAAAATCATCAGTGCAAAAAACAATGAGGTTTTACAGTTCAGTAACTACAGGTAAAAGAAGCGAGTCTAGTTCCCATGAAAGCTGCTACTGAACTTGGAGAGAACCTGGGAAGAAGAAAACGTCTCAGAGGTGGGTGTTGAGAGAGTCAGACCCTGCATTTGGATGAGAAGAACTGCAATGCAATCTAGCTGCTGAGTGCCTTCAGCTGCTTCCAAATATATGGTGGTTACTTTTGGAAATAATATATAGCGAGAGTATTTGGAAACTTTAACAGCAAATTAAGTGTCTGAGGTTTGTAACAGCTCAAACAAAATAGCTTGTATTCCTCTTTTAATAGGTCAACGCATTAAATTCCATCGGCTTCTAAAAGGTCTCTTTAAAAAATAACAGTAGTAACAGTAACGACCCCACTTGCTTGGGCGTGAATCTGCCGACATTCTGCCTCTACCACCAGCATCAACACATTTTTATGCTTTGCCACTGCACGTACTCCTTGAGAAAGTGGCTGAACTTGAAGCTCTCTACAGGTAAAGCTCTCGGTTGCTCTGCCTGGCACAGCCCACGATAAATCCCTCGCTTGGGGCTGTCTGTGCCGGGGAAACGGCGTGCTTATCGAACCCCAAACCCACCCCGTGCCGGCACCGGCAGAGCACCTCAGTCTGACTCCTGGGACAACCAAGAACAAGTTCCCCCAGCCTCATCCCCTGTTTCTGCGGCTCTGAGGACAGCACTCGGTCACGCATATCGGAGCGATGGCTAACAAGGCGAGGAGGCACGTATTTACAGTCACTAGACCTGGA